AGCAAATTCCCAGTCCATGAATCCTGGTCACTGACAATGGCAATAATAAAAACTGATTCTGATTCTGAAATAATAAAAGGATCCAGGTCCAGAACCTGAACCTGTGCTGTGGTGGGACTCAAAGCCCTACAGAACTGTTCTGGTTCTACAAGCTGCTGGATCMGGAGCTGGACCTCAGCTTTACATCAGTTTTTATTTCTAAYAATGACAAACTGGGTCCTACTGGGTCAGGATCAGTTCTGATGCACAGCTCGGGTCTCCTCACCGTTATTATGATAACGTGCTCAGGTTGATAAAACCAACGCGCATGCGCACGGAGCTCAGCTGATAAGCCTAACGTGTTTCTACCTGAACTGTTTTAACACTTCCGACTCCCTGGGACTGACCTAATCCAGGTCCAAGCTCCGCAGGTGCACCGGGGCCCGCTGGGCAGTCTGTGCCCAGGGACAGGGAGCTGAGCTCGGTTGTTTTTGTTGTTTTTACCTGCTGCTGCTCCTGTTTCTGACGGAACTGTTCAGAACATCCATGTAAATATGAAGAATTTTAATAAACGTGCTGCTAGATGAAAATAAACACCACCACACCGGGGTTTGAAGTCTTATTGTGGTTATTGTACGTTGGATTTTAATTCGGGGACAATTTCATTTACCAACAGTCAATTTAATTATTAAAACCTGACACTCTTGTTACCCCCATGAGGTGACCACTTCCGTTATCGTCTCAGACAGAAGAGATAGCAAGAAAGAGATAAAAAGTTGACATTTTATCAACAATAACAAAAACATGTGCTTAAAATTTATGCCGATATATTGCGATTAACCAGATACACAACATTATAATCCATGTATGTTTCAAACAGTTGGAATAAAAGTAAGAAAGTAGATTGTGCTTAAATTGAGACATTTTTGAAGGAAGTCTGGCCTGTCTTTCAGCAGAGGCTGCAAGCTAGCAGCAGCTCACCTCCCCAGATCCCGATCTTCAGCTGAGACTTGTCCAGGTTCTCCACGTAGTCCCCAATGAACCTGTTCAGCAGGTCACTGACCAGAGACTCGAAGACCATGGCTGAAAGCTCCGGTTTGGACCCGGAGAGGGTCGCGGACTTTCGGCACCCGAGTTTCGGTTCAGATGATCCGCTAAGTCCGGGATCGACTAGTGCTGTCTGCGGGCGTGTGTACAGTGACGTGTGTGTGTGTGCGCGTGGAAAGAGCAGTCAGGTGAGGGTGACTCAGACTTTTTCCTCTGATCTGTTTCACTAAAAGCTCTGATGCTGCAGGAAGAAAACTGCAGAAACACTGAACTGATGACAGGACCTCTGTCAGCCCTTACACCATTTATTGTGCAACACCTGACAGTTTTATGGTGTAACACCTGTTTACATCTGAAGCTGGATGCAGGTCAACAACTGCTCACAGAAAWGCTTATTTTACAGAAATAAACATACAGAGTGAACAATGTGAAATCATAAAACAAGAGTATTCTGTTAAAAGCTTCAACATCCATGAATTAATTAAATGATTGATGGTTTAATTACATCAAGGCAAAATGAAAACATTGACCCATGCTGTCATCATTTGTCCAACAGTAATTTGTATTGATGGTAGGACTGCAACGATACAGAAAATTCAAGATTCAAATCGGTTCGATGTTTTTTTTTTGATACAAAAAAGAGAAATGTCCATGCCCCTTTTAACTTGTAATTTATTTATATTAATTATGAACATTT